CACCTTGTCAGGCCACAGTTAGTAGATAACAGAGCAAGGGTCAAAAGGCAAGCCATAAAGGAGATGGGAAATCTGTCCTTCTGCTATCTCATAAATATACTTTACAATTGATGAACATTATCTTGATTACAGTAAGGATTACCAGATGATTAACAGACTGGGGTCAGACACCTACAAACAAAGAGCCTTAGCTAAGTTGATCCCCTGACCCCTTTCCCAGGACCACTCCGATCTGGTTCCAGCCTGTTCAAAAGGTCCCAGTGAAACAAAGACTTCTAAATAAGCCAATGACAGATCAATAATTAACATGTCAACTCAACCATTCATAAATATTGGGCCTGGGGCAGCAAACTGAATGTTTCCTATACCTTAGCAAAAAACCCACCAAACAGTTCAGTGGGAGTCCCCAGGAAGCAGAGACCTGGGTAGCACACCTGCTCTTTCCAACCCCAAGGCTGCATAAGCATTATCTTCATTAGTACCAGTAAGTCTTTATGCTAATGCAGCTATCAAGTTAAGACTACAGCGGCCTCACTGATCAATCAGTCTCTCTCCTAACCACAAATCCAACAAAAAAGGTAACAATCACCCTCCACTCGATCCCCAGGAAGTTACCTGGGGTAGGGGTAGGGGGCAGACATTAAGGAAGACCATATGCAAACATGTGGAAGAGGAAAGGCTGGTCTCAACCAACAAATCATGTCCAACAAGCTTGATCTCCTGCTACGACAGAGTAACTGTGGGGGTGGATGAAGGTCCTGCTGTGGGTGTTGTGTGTGTGCAATTCAGCAAGCCTTTGTACAAGCTCATGCACAACCTCCTCATAAACCAAGGGGAGAATTGTGGGCTGCATGAAACTCCTATACGGTAGGCAGACAACTGGCTCCATCACCTCCAGCAAAGGGATTGGTAGTTTTGACCGGGTCCATGTCAGGATAGCTGGTGGGTTCAAGTGCAGCCCCACAGGGGTCTGTCCTGAGCCTGGGGCTGCTCAGTGTGTCCATTCACGGTCTGCGTGCCGGCACAGAAAGTTTCTGGAGCAAGTTATGGAGGACATGATGCTGGGAAGGGCTGTGAACATGCTGGAGGACACAAGTGCAATGCAGACAGACCTCAAAAAGACTGGAAAGCCAGGCTGAAGCTGATGGGATGCAGGTCAGTGCGGACACATGCACGTCACTGCTCTTGGGAGGAAGGATCATGGGCACAGGCACCGAGTGGGTGAGACACAGCTGGGGGCAGCACTACGGAGAAGGACCTGGGCATCTCAGGAAGTGCCAGACTCAAGAGGAGTTTGCAGGGTGCTGCAGCTGAATGAAGAAGCCCACGTGGGTCTGGGCAATGGGATGGGCAGGATGAAGGTGCTGAAGGCTGGAGGTGGCTGGGCAAGGGCAGCCTGTCTGGGACAGGTCCAGGAGAGCAGGCCGTGCTGCGTGCTGGGAGGGCGGCAGGAAGTGTGCCAGGTGCGGCCGTGCTGGAGTGGGGGGAGCTGGAAGGCAAGGGGCAGGGTGAGCTGGGGCTGCTGAGAGGCAGAGCGCAGCCCCTCTCCTCCGGCCACGCTCCTGCGTGGGGGCACAGGGCTCCCGCTGCCAGGGGAGGAGAAGGGCACAGGAGTGCCTCTGCACAAGGGTGCGGTGAGGGCACCAGCATGGGCAGACACTCTCGTACTCACAGAGCCTCCTGTCCTCATACCCTGCGGTTGGTCTCTGCAGCTTTCTGGGTGTAAGTGGCTGCCTTCTCACACACCCAACCAAATTTTTCACTGGACCAGCGTATTTTTTCTATGTTGCCCCCTTCAATTACTCCATAAACTCCATAACCTTGAAGTTTCTCACCTCTTCAAAGAAAGAGGCCAGGTAAGGACCCCAGACCATCCCAGCCCCTGCAAGCCCC